CGCCCTTTTGCGATGATTCCGCGCGCAACAGTTTTGCTTCATGGGTCCACGAGCTTCGAGACTTGCGGGCATGGGCCTTTGGATGACCCTCGTATGAGTAATGCTTTTTTGGTGGTTGAACCTAGTAATCAAGAATATATTCTCCATAGAAATTACATTGAATGACTATACCCAAAAGGATGATATAATCTTACTCTCTACGGGCACCATAGTATCCCCAAACACTACTCATATGTAGGTATTATCATTGTTGAAAGGGTCTCCCACAACCTCGCATCGAACCTAAGTGTCCAGCCCAAATCACATCCCTATTTTTCAGACGGGGGGTCATCACGTGGCTACCCTGACATAAGGCTTATATAAGACGTTAGGAAGCAGATGACGGCTATGTAAGGCTTAGACGGGGGAAACTACCCACCTGAACTTTCCTACGTAGGAAAAAAGCCCTAAACTCTAAACCCTGACCCAACTGATCTTTCCTAATAGGGGAAAAACCCCTAAACTCTAAACCCTGACCCTCCTGGCTCTTGACGTAGTCTCGGAGGTCGGGGGCTTTCCGGGACGCACTCAGGGCCAGCGCGATTTCGGGCCGCGGCTCCATAGGCTTTCCTCTGAGCAAGGATCGATGGATTCTATAAGTAGGTCTGGGATGTGGGGTCTAGAGATTAAGAAGTACGAAGCGTTTGGGAACTCTAGAGTTTGGGGACTAATCAGGGCTTTGGGTCAGAATTTGGGGGTTTAGGGTTTCAAGTTGTGGAGCTTGTGTATACAAGGAGAGATCAAGTTCCTCCTCTTCTCCCGAGTCGAACCATAGCGCTGATGTTGAACAACTGCATAGGCCCCACAATTCCAAAGGTATGCTTGGGAGGTCATGGTGACTTAGCAAGTAGGTTAATCACCCCTGTAATCCATAAAATCTAAACCCTGAACCCTGAAAGCCCTAAACCCTAAAAGCACTAAACCCGAAGCACTCGAACCTAAAAACCCTAAAAGACCCCAAACCCACCACTTGGACCTAGTTACCAAGTCCCCCTGACCCTCCAAGGTCTGAGCGGTACCTAGGGTCGGATTCCCTCATATGCGCACTTCTGGGTTGCTGCTAAGGAATTCAGAATATTTGGTTCCTATATTATGTTCAGGATTTCAATTTTGGGTTCTGGTGTTAGTTACTATAGAAGGAAGCCCTGTAATTTAACTATATACCCATGTTAGGGTAACTTAGCTTAAGTTCCTTGACAGCAGCCCAGACTATGTTGCGGGATGTAGAAAGCAAGAGCCGATAGTGAGAAACTGCCAAAGTGTGACATACCTTCAGCTTGACAGCCATAGAAGCATCTCCCGCGGCTCAGGGTTTATAGGGTTTAGGGTTTTTAGGGTTTAGGATTTAGGAGTTCAGAGTTTGGGGTTTGGGGTTTAGGGTGTGAGTGATTTGGGGCTAAGGGGTTTTAAGGGCTTAGGACTATGGCAATAATGCAGTTTAGATTGTCGGCTTAAGCGGTTTAAGGTAAAAGGGATTCCGTGCTTAGGGTAAAGCGCTTGAGACCTCAGAATTTCACAGGCTTGGCACTTTGGAACATTTGGCGGTTCCCCAAAACAAGGGAACCGCAGTATGAACACCAAAAGACTATGGTCCTCATTATGGGGATTCCAAGAAGGGTACCCCTCATTTTGGAGAAAAAACATGTTGGGATCGCAGCGCCAGCATGCTTCCCTTGGTTCAGCAATGGTTCTGCACAGGGGAAACACGATGATTTAGAATAAATCATTCTAAGTTACCGTGTTTCCCCTGTGCAGAACGAATTTCAATTCCCAATTGAAGGTCATCTTGGACTATTCCCTATAAAAACCACCATTTAGGGTGAGGTCGCTTTGAGTTGCCCAGGTGAAGCACTGGTTCAGCATTAGCAAAATTAAGCAAGAGGCTGGTGGCTCAGGAAGAAGCTAACGTCGAAACCCTTCAGGGCCACTTAGAACCCTTACCCTACGGCTCAACATAGCCCCAAAACCTTGTATAGTATAGTCTTTGGGCCCAAAAGCCTTATATTATGAGTCCTTAGAGCCTCAGGGTTAACCATGGACCCCAAAGGCTTCATGGTCAAGGGCTTTCAGACCACAGGCTGCGCGGGGGTATGGCTGCTTCTGCCCTTTGCATCGGCCGAACTTCATGCCCCTTGCCCCTAAACCCTAAACCCCTAAACCCTAAACCCTAAGCCCCTAAACCCAGTCATCTCGAGTCTTGCCATTTTCTGTATCTGGGGTTTATCTCGAATGGGACTACTATAGTATAATGGGGTTATATTGGGATAATGGAAAAGAAAATGGAAACTACTATAATATGGTTTAGGGTTTAGGTGGTGTAAATTCTTGGTACCTTCATACAATTGCTTGACAAGCCAATTGAGGAAGGGATACTTTTTACAACAACGGTTTAGGTGTTTTGTTTAGCACCGCGAGCTTTTATCCCTGCAAATGGGCCGCTTAGCGCCCTTCCTCCAACGAGTCCGTTTGCACACCTGCTGAACGATGGTATTCTTGAGTTGGGGTCAGGCTCCAGAACTGAACTGACACCCGGAAACCTAGTCTAAACCACCCCACGCCCCAAACCAAAACCTCAACACGGTGGAAGAAGCCCACAGGGGGATTGGAAGTCTTGCAGGTAGGTATACCCTTAAGGGTCCAAATACCCCGGTAGGGGTGCAGGGTTTAGGGTTTGAAGTCTAAAAAATGATGTGGCCGACATATCCGAGGGGCCAATGCTTATGGAAACTCGGTGCTGCACACTGCGCGGCGCTGCTGCCCTGAAACAGAAAAATTGAGATGTGGGGCTTACGGGTTTGCCAGGTTTCCAACATCCTCTTCTTATTATTGAACATATGGATGTTTATACTTCAACTTGCTACATGCAGAGTCTGATATGGAAGTTTCTCAAAAGCTGCGCGATAGAATCGCTGATGGCGACCCCGTAGATTTTGGGGCTTGCCCAGATAACCACAATATATCCCCATCGGGATCCTGTGTTGCCAAGCAGTTGCCTGAAGGAGGGGTACAGGCCAAACCCTAAACCAACCAAAACCCAAAATCCTAAACCCTGAAACTCTGGAAATGAGGAGGCTTGCCCCCCGCCCTGAAACCAAAGAGGCGCATCCAAGTTGAGGTTTAGGGTTTTTGGTGGATCAGGGTTTTTGGGGATCAGGGTTTGAGGGTTTTGGGTTTATAGGGTTTAGAGCCTAAGGGGTTAGGGTTTATGGCGATTGAGGCCTGCTGGCTTGAGGGCGTAAGGATTTAGGGTTTAGGGTTTAGGGTTTAGGGATTAGGGCCAAAAGGTTTTTGGTTTATAGGGATGAGGGTTTACCATTTAGGGTGGTATCTACTTTACATACACATGCAGCATCCCAACAAACTAAATTTTAAAGGCCACCAAGTGCTTTGCACATGGGAGCTATAGCCTCAACTCCTAGTATCCCCCTTCATAACCCCTTGAAGAGTGCCTTATACTATCCCATATGTAATCCCCTTTGAGGAGTTTAGACTATAGCTCATGTGATACGTTGTAAAAGTTATGGTCCCTTCAAGGGGTTGGAGGTCACCACTATAGTACGGCCCTGGTATTTAATTTAGGGAACCCAAAATGGGACATCTTTTGGCATTCCCCCCCCCCCCCGCCCCTCCTGCAAACGACTCCAACCCTCTGGACGCAAGTACCCTCATAGTATCCAACTTGGATGCCGGTTTAGGACTCCTATGGGTTCCTTGGCAGCTTCGAAGCCCAAACCCTCCACTAAGCCCTGCACCGCGCCACAGGTTGAAGGCCATGTGAGCTCTAGTCTAAACTCCTAGTATCCCCCTTGGTAGCCTCTATGGTAGTCCCCTATATAATCCCCTGTATAACCCCCTGTAAGGAATTTAGACTGTAGCTCATATGGGCTTAAATACATCCAGACAGTGTAGTCCACAAGGTGGGTAGCCCTAAGATGTGTACATCTCCCTTGGAAAAAGAGACCAGCATTCAGGCTTCAAAACGGTGAGGGCAGAACGGAGATTGAACGTTAACACTGAGGATCCTGCATGTCCTTATTTAGGTACTTCGGGGGTCATGCAGGATTCTTAACGTTTCTTTGAACGGCCCCAACGCGCACATGGCATCAGACTTTTGCGCCTTCCTCGCACTCTGGGTTTCTGGTTTCTCGAGGAGTCTCTCGGGGGAATGGGGCTCTTGACTTGGGAAACGGCTGTACAATGTGGGGACGCCCCTCCGGCAACTGAACTCAGGGAAGGACGAGGAGGTGTAGACACCATGGCCACCGTCCAGTAAGAAGCGAGCCGAATAGAAGCGAAGCCAACGCGGCAGCGGCCCTTTGCACTCCTTCAGGCCCTAGGGCTCCAGTTACCTAAATAATGGGTTCTATGTTCTATATACCCTATAGTTACATAGCCGAGTTACCTACTATTAAGGTAACTGGGAGGTGTAGGGAGGTGTAGGATTTGGGGTTCAGGGTTTAGGATTTTAGGACTTGTCTTTGACATTCGGGTTGGATCTTGGCCCTAACAGAATCACTAGAACCTGCCATGGGGTTGTACATGTCTGGGTACAAATCTTGGAATGTTTACCTCTGCAATTTCATGTGTAAATGGAATCAAAGCTTATTGTAAGACTGGTGAGCCTGATGGACCGGCGAGTACCTAGCTGATAGGCAAACAACACCCTAGAACCAACAACCTTTGGGAAGTGTCTGCAGCTTGTCTTATCCAGCTGCTTCATAATTCGCCTATGCCTTTGCCCCAACCCCCAATACCTGAACCCTAAGCCCCAAATCCCCTGCATCACCCAACCCTGAACCCTAAACCCTATATCCTGTAAACCATAAGCACCAAATCCACCCTCTAAACCGTATGAACCCTATAAACCCTATAACCCTACAAACACTTCAAACCGTAAAAACCCTAAACCCTAACTCACTGCTGGCCAGGGGGCATGGGTTCAGGCACTCTCGTCCATGGAGCTACTGGGAGCCCCTGCGCGCCCACTTTTGGTAGTCACGCTGCCACTTCAGGTAGTCCTCATAGACGCCGCCCTGTCCCTTCCTTAGGTTAAGATCTAAGTTTTAGGGTTTAGGTTTATGCTTATACATAGCCCTTAATAGGGCCCCTAATATAGACTGTTACTGAGTGGGGGCAGTACCCAAGGTTTAGGACCCTAAACCCCTCAAGTTGCGGGTGGATTCGTCCAAGGGGTCCCAACACAACTTCTTTTCAGGGAGCCCACGGGGTCCTGCGAGTATCTTGCCTGCTTGGGAGACCCTGGGGACCTGCGGTTGAGGTTTAGGGTTTAGGGCCTGTAAACTCTAAACCCTATAGGGTTTCGGGCTTATAGACCCCAAGCCCCTAGACGCTTAACCGTATAGGGTTTAGGCCTTATAAACCGGCTTATAAACCCTATAGGGCTTAGGGCATATAAACCCTAAACCCCTAAACCCTAAAGGGTTTAGGGCAGATAAACCCTAAACCCCTGAACCCTAAAAGGTTTAGGGTATATAAACCCTAAAGGGTTTAGGGCATATTCTTACAGAGCCTTGATCTCCTTTGCAATAGCCATGCCTGCACTCCTCTGCCATCAGAGATCTCAGAGATCATGCTTGGAGGGTCTCCACTTAGTAGGTAGGTTACTAACCCTGCAATCCATATGGTGGCTTCCCCAAATTAGGGGTACCGTTATGGGGGATCCCTATAATAGGGAGTCAAGTATATTGGGGTCCCTAATTTGGGGAATCTACCGTACATTGAGGCTAGTTATCCCAATTATTACCCTACTTGCTTGCTCCCCTTGACTCTCCAAGTGAGAACCCTTGAAAGAACGCGATCTTGCTCAATATGAGGACGCAACAGTCCACCCTCCCACATGACTCCCCGGCATCGTCAACACCATAAATCCTATAATCCCCAACGCCATAGCCCAATGGCTTCGAAAATTCTAGAACTATCCGGACCCTCGAAAAATGGGACGACGCGGGCAAGGACTACAACTTTAGCTTCCCTACGATCGTGGCTGCCCAGGAATGACGGTTATAAATACTATAATGAAGCACGAGTGAGTTTGGGTTTAGAGAACTCCCGTCAATTCGAGCCCTACTTGAAGGGCCAATGCAATGACAACATGTTGAACAAAACCCTAAACTCTAAACCCTGAACCCTCTAAACCCTAAACTCTAAACCCTGAACCCTCTAAACCCTGAACCCTCAACCCTGAACCCTAAACCCTGAACCCTAAATCCTAAATCCTAAACCCTAAATCCTAAACCCGGAACCCTCATCTTTGCTCAGATTATCCACAGCTTCCCATCGGTGGTGCAAGATTTCTGCCATCAACTGCTCATAGGTCGAACCTATCCGGTAAATTTTGAAGCCATGCTAAAACGCCTAGGTTTAGGGCTAAGGGCTTAAGGTCTGAACCCCTAAACCTTAAACCCAACCGTGATAGCCCGAGTGATTCCCGCACTTACTACTACCGTGACAGAGAACCAGAAATCGCAGGACTTTACTATACTTACCACATAATGAATGGGGTTTAATGTAGACCCCTGATTAATAAACCCCCTCCTTTTAAGGGCCTTAATATCAGGATCCCTATGATAATGCCTATTAAGGGGAGGTGGTTAATCAGGGGTCTACATTAGGGTTTGGAGTTTAGGACCATAATCCTTCAGGCCACTCTCAGTGGCTGGGGGGTGCTTCTCACTGATGGTAGCCAAGTATCAAAATTGGCGCCAGTTCAGGGAGCGTGACATCCCGTCTCGCCGGGGACACACGTAGCCTCTTTTAACTCTAAAGGCTGGGAATTTATAGGAATGGGAACTTTAGGGTTGAGGATTTGGGGTTTATGTCTAGGGCTGCGGAGGAGGCTTCATACTTTGGGCTTCCCCATTATCAGCTCGGGTTGCAGGATCTGGCTTGGAATTTAATGGGGTTTGAATTTTACCTAACATGGAACCACAAACTGGACTAGGCGCTACAAAGATTACTGCCCCTTCAACAAAAAATACATGAGGTTCCATGTGTGACTTAGTCTAAACTCCTAGTATACCCTTCACATTTCAAGGCGGGACGGTGGTGCATTGTCGCTCGAAAGTGCTTGGAGTTGGAGGCCATCACGACCTCAATGAGAAGTGGCTGGAGGGCCGGTTTGTTGGGTGGAGTGAGGATGTGGTCAATGGCCATGTGGTGAAGCTTGATTCGGGCGGCTACATTACTACTGCGCATGTCCGGCCATTTCTGGTGGATAGTGACCAGTTGGTTGCCCTGGAGCCTTATGAAGCTCATGTACCTGTTCCTGAACGACGTGTTCGAGGCAAGACCACCTTGAGACCTATGGCAGCGGTCACTCCGGCTTCCAACGCCATGGAAGATCTGGCTCGGGCGCTCTTCGACGAGGAGAAGTTTGCGGTTGAGGACCTGCTACGCTTCTGGGAGGAGGCGAGTGCCAATGCCTTTCCCAAAGGAAGGCAGTGCTTCCATGGTGTAAACCCGAGGTACATAGCTTTCGGGCAGTACACGCACGGCATGTTCAGTGGTTTGATGTCCTCTACATATAGGTACCCCTACACGGTCCAGTACCTCACCCGTTGCTTTGAGGAGATTTGCCCCTACGACAAGTTTGCCACGCTTACTGTGTCTGAGGATGTTGGGATGGCTTGTCATCGTGATGTTCACAACGAGAGAGACTCCTACAATGTTGTGCTGCCGCTTCTTGATTGTGATGGTGGTGGTTTGTGGATCGAGTCCGAGCCGGATCAGTTTTCCTTGGACGATGAATGGCGGCCCATCCCCAATGGTGAGTGGCGGCGGGGTCAAGTGCACCAGTTGAGGGCGGGTACACCTATACGGTTCAGCGCAAGGAAATGGCATCAAACTGAGCCTTGGCAGGGACGACGTATTGTCCTGATTGGCTACACCCCCCGCATGGGCGCACTGCAGAAGGAGACCTATGATGACCTCCTGGACCTGGGCTTCAATCCTCCACCTTTTCCGGCTTCAGATGCGCTGACTCCAGCGCTTAACATGATCGGTATGGTTCCTGAATCGGGTTCTGTGGATGCTGTCGTGTTCCGTGGTCGGGAGCCAGATTCGGACAAGGACGACGACGAGACCGTGGACCATGCTGCGCAGAACCTTCAGACCCTGCAGGAGGACCTCATTGATCGTTTTCAAGAACGGGCCCAACATCTGCGAGAGCTTCTCGCTGAGGAGGAGGTCATTGCGGCGGAGTTTGCCTAAATTGGCAGCATGGCCCGAGAAGAAGTTGATGAGGCGAATGCTGTTATTCAGGACATGCTCCGAGATGTGCAGCGTGGACTCGATAGCGCTGTTGAAGCTGCGGATGCCAAGTTCCTGAAGATGGCGGGGTCCCCTGAGAATCTGTTGGAGGATGTGGGCGACATTGAGAAGTACTTGTCCGAGTTGCCTGGTGACTTAGGTACAACCCTAACAGTGCCTTTGGAGCAAGTCAAGGAGAACTTGCCCACATGGATCCCAGCCATCTCTAAGGAACTTCACAATGTGGAGGAGGCTACACAAGCTCTCAAGCGCATCCCCATGCATCGTGCTAAGGCTCTGGAACGAGAAGGACGTCTCAAGCTGCTGCCCGGCAAGCTCGTGTTCACTGTCAAACCACCAGCTGAACCTTCGAGAGGTGTTCCAGGAGCTCCCCGTTGGAAGAGAAAGGCGAGGCTAGTGATTTGTGGGAACTTCATTGATCCGGATGCTAGCATGAACCTGTTTGCCACGGGTGCCTCCGCTGAAAGTTTACGTGTGGCGTTGTGCTTGGCAACCAAGGCTTGTTGGTCGGCAGGGTGCACGGACATCACAGGAGCCTTCTTGCTTGCGATTTGGCCAGCGGACAAACCTACGTACGGAGTTTTGGCTCCGCGTGTCTTGGTGCAGGCGGGACTTGCCCGAGATGACGAAGTTTTCCTGGTCTGCAGGCCACTTTACGGCCTTCGTGAAGCACCAGCCCTCTGGGCACAGTTCCGCTCAGAGAAGCTCGCGGCCTTGAAGGTCCCCTTTCGTGAAGGATTCTTGGTCTTGAGGTCTGTGATCACGGACAGTGAGTTGTGGCGGATCATGTTCATGGATGCGGAGGGCGAGCTCACCCTGTGCGGCTTGTTGGTCACATACGTAGATGACCTGCTTTATCTGTGCTTGAAGTGCGTCGTGGAGGCTTTGCATCGGGCTGTTAAGGAGATGTGGCCGTGCTCTGCGTTGGAGTTTGCTGCGCAGGGAGAAGGAGTCAGGTACTTGGGCATGGAGCGGGATCATGGGTTCCTCCTTGGCCAGGCGGGGTACATCGAGACCCTTCTCAAAAGTCATGGCATGTCTCCAGAAGCAAGGGCCCAACTCCCTTGCCCAAAGGAGTGGCTTGGGGACGAGGATGCCGATGCCGAGGTGGAAAACTTCTCTGAGACGGAGTTGCGACAAGGACAACGTGTAGTAGGCGAGTGTCTCTGGCTCGCCTTCCGCACGAGACCAGATCTAGTCTTTGTCACGAATTATATGGCCTCGCTAGTATCGAAACGACCTTGTTTCGTTTATCGCATTGGCCTCAAGGTTTTGTCCTACCTGAACGCTACCTCTACGCTGCAGCTTCGAGTTGATGGTCGCAGCAGCACGGATAGCCTCAGCAACCTGGACCCTAGCAGCAGCGCTACAAGCATTACACCACATACCTTTCAGGGCCCCCTAAGGGTTGAGTTAAGAGGTTTCAGTGATGCAAGCTTTGCGCCCTTTGGCACCAAGAGTTTTGGATGCTGTCTGGCAGTCGTTGGTCAAACTCCAGTGGCTTGGAAGGCAAGTCGCCAACCCTACGTCACTCTCAGTGTTTGCGAGGCGGAGCTCGTGGAAGGTTCGAACTGTGCTCTTCTCTTGGAGACAATGGAGACTCTGTTGCGTGAGCTTGATGTGTATGAGGGAACCCCAACTTTGTGCATTGATAACACCGCTGCTGGGGGTATTCTAGCTGGCTCCCCTGGATCATGGCGCACAAGGCACCTAAGAGTTCGGTTCTCATACACTATTGAGCGTGTGACAAAGGGCCTCCTTAATGTCCAGCATACTCCTGGAGATCGACAGCTAGCAGACTTGCCTACGAAGCTTCATTCACGCGCTCGCCTTTTGGACTTGCTGCAGTTGTGGAATATGCAAGGTTTGCCTGAGTTGAATCAGCGCAAGGTCATGAGTTTGGTGACTTTGACCGTTGTTCTCTGTGCGATGCTGGCTGTGCAATTAGGGTGCTTGGGAGCTTTCCTTCTTGCTTATGCTGTCATGTTTCGCGGCGGTGGTCTGCTGGGAGATCCTGAAGTTTGTGCGCTCCTGGTGTGCTCGACGGCTGTTCCAGTCCGAGAGGAGCTGTAACCTCCAAAGGCTGCGTGACTTGGCACGCCTGGCAGCAGAGGCCGAGATCGACAGGCGTTGGTCCGGGGCCTCGGAGATCGCCAGTCAACTTGTTCATGAGCGCGTTCAACAGGTGGTGGATCGAGCTTTGGGCAAGGCACAAGTGCAATCACGAGGTGTACAAACCGACATCTCCACGACCGCGAGGGACCTGAGCCCTCCTAGAGCCTCTCGCGAGGTTCCGCCTCAGCCTTCACCAGCTTCGAGCGTCCAGAGTGTGCCAAGTGAGGTGTCGTCGGTTCAGGACGAGGTGCTGCGACAAAGTGACAGGGGACGGCTCTGCAGAGACATGGTCATGTTGATGACTGTAGACAACGTCAAACAGGGCCTCCGAAGTGAGGGGTTGTCACTCTCGGGTTTGAAGCCCGAGCTGGCAAGCCACCTGGCTGTGCGACTTGTACCTCAAGCTGGCTTTGAGGTCTTTGGGAGAGTTCTTCCCACAGATAGCCAGATGAGATATGTCCTGTGGCTATGGCAGCATCGCAGGTTGCAAATGCGTTGCAACTTGGTGTGGCAAGACCTTGCTACACGAGAAACCATATCAAGGTGGATTCGCTGATGGAAGGAGGCTTAGAGGAGTCTTTGTGCATGTCTTTACTTTTGGGCCAACCAGTCTCTGGAAAGACCTTGGAGGATCGGTTGGATGCCTCAGAAGCTCGGAGAGCTCTGGAATGAAGGCTCACTGGCGGCTGACCGTCAGAGAGTGAGCTTTAGCCGAAGGCTAAGCTCAAGGAGGAGTGTGAATGGCCAGGTGCTGATCGCATGGATCTATGATGCTTCCTGGTTCAAGGCTGGCTACGGCAATGGATGGGCCTTGGGCAGGGAGTAGTGCACAGCATAGTCTAAGCTGCAGAAGCATTTCACACTTCGCACGTGCCGGTAAAAGTGCTAAAGCGTTTTGTGCGAGCCATGGCTGACAGCTCTGCAAACCTACAACCCTTCTCATACCATGGTTCTGCTCCAGATCCCGGACCTTACGTAGGTCTTCAGAATTATACTGTGGGATCCACTCTGCTATAAGCCCTAAACCCTAAACCGAGTAAGTGTATGAGGAAGGCCGCGGAGCTTGCGGGACTAGTCAGGCATGTACATTATCACACTGACCGATTTTCTGGGAACTACACGACTTTTGGGTCCCTGAACCCTTAACCCTAGACCCCAATCTCTAACTCCCGAACCCTAAACCCTAAACTTGGAGCCCTGAACCCTAAGGCCTAAACCTCGAACTCTTAACGCTGAACCCTGGCCCTAAGCCCCTAACCCCGAACCCTCAACCGCAAAGCCGAAACCCTGAACCGCTAAACCCGCATCAACCTTGAACCCTGCATAGACAGTCTATAAGCTTCCCTAAAGCCTCAACTCCTAATTAGACACTAACCCTCAATAAGCTTTATACCCCATTAGGGCCAGTCTGTAATGTTCCTTAGCCCCTCAATGCCTAAACCCCTATAAGCCCGAAACCCCATATAGACAGTCTATAAGGTTCCCTCAACCCACAATCCCATCACTTACTAAATCCTCCTAACCCCAAACCCTAAGCCTTAAACCCTAGTCCCTAAGCACTACAAACTAAACTGGCGAGAGCGCCGCTGACCCATACTACCACACTTATGAGCAGGATCCCAAACCCCCAGCGTAACGTTTAACTCCCCAGAGGCCCCCTGGGTCGGAGGCCGGCCAAGGCCTCCGCTACCTCTATCCGTTAATCGGATCCGTTTTCTTGAAATTCAGAAACTCGAACTCCAAGTCACCGCGCACCATCTGAGAATGCTGATTGCGGCCAAGTGATGAGACAACAGCAGGACTGGGGCGGGAGAAGAGAAAAATGAAGCCCCCCTTGCTAGCGGGGGTGGGAACCCTAAACCCTAAATCGGCATAGTTTGGGTGGTTAGGGTGGGACTACTAAGCTGCGCACCCGTGTGCAAGGGTGCGCGCTCCTGAATCTAGAGAAAAGGCGCGCACCCCGCGCGCGCGTCCACTGATGCAAACCCTAGACGCTAATCCCCACAGACCCTAATCCCTAAACCCGAAAGCCTATCCCTAAACCCTAAAACCCAATCCCTAAAACCTACTCCCTACACCCTGAGCCCTAAAGCCGGATCCCTAGAACCTAGTCCCCAAACCCTGAACCCTAAAACCTGATCCCGAAAACCTAGTCCCCAAACCCTAATCTCTAAACCCTAATCCCTGAACCCGAAACCCTAATCCCCAGACCCTGAAACCTAATCCCTAAACCATCATCCCTAAACCCTAATTCTTAAACCATAATCCCTAAACCCTAATTCTTAAACCCTAATCCCTAAACCCTAAACCCGAAACCCTAAACCCTAAGGACCCAGAAGCCTCCTCGAAGCCGGCAGTAGCGGTGAGGCAGGTGAGGAGGCTGAGGCCTGGTTCTTTACGCGTTACTGGCCCTAGAAGCCCAGTCACCTATATATTGGGTTCCTGTCCTTAAGTCCCTTTATACATTTATACTATCTATAACCCAAGGACCTACTATATGGGTACTTGGGCTTCTAGGGTTGGAGCGTGAGGAGGACTTAGTAAGTTAGGGTTTAGGGTTTAGGATTTAGGGCTTAGGGTTTAGGACTTAGGGTTTAGGAGTTAGGGCTTAGGATTTAGGATTTTGGGTTTAGGATTTTTAGTTTTAGGGTCTAGGGTTTGGGGATTAAGGTTTAGGGTCAGGAGGACGTAGTTAGTACGTGGATGATGGGGATAACTTGGGCTATTATATGGGTTACAGGGACTTTTCACCCGCTCACAAAGTCCCCCCGACCCTCTAAGTGTAGTAGTGCTGTAAGAGCGTAAGAAGGCTTTCGGTCAGTACGTGCTCCAGGTTAAGGGCTACGGGATCAGGGTCCGGCGATTTAAGCCCATCATGGAGAGTCAACTGGGAAAGGGAACGCAACATGGAAGCTACCCCTCCTAACACTAACAACCCTAAAGCTAGTACCCTAGTATGAGCATGTTCCCCTAAAACCTAAACGCTGCACCCTAAATCTCGAACCTTTGTACCCCTAAACTGGGTTACTCCAAATGGGGGATGAATACCCTAAGTAGGACATTGAGGACTTTGCCTCGACACTCGTCACTGGCCGATTAGGGTGTAGTCCAGTACAAGGCTATGCAGATGGAAGGGGAATCGGTTTGGGGTTTAGGGTTTAGGGTTTAGGTTAAGTAGTATCTGCGGGCATAAAGCTCTTTGGGTATTAACCATTTCCAGGAAGCGTTCAGAGTTGTAGGCGCTCGGGTGTGGACGATTTGGGCCGAGACCTTAAATCCTACAGACTGAACCTCCCCGCAACGGAAGGCCGTTAAAAATTATCCCCTGTATACTGCTTATGTTTAGGGGCCCGAGAAGATGCCCTAAACCCTAAACCCTACGTCTCTCCCTAAAGCTTCAACCCCTTAGAAAAAATGGACACTCCGGGCCTGCAGCCCAAACCCTAAACCCTGAACCCCAAACCCTAAACCCCAAACCCTTTAGGAGGTCTGGGTATTGAATACATTGTCCCAACTTTTGGCCTTAGGCTCCCTTAGGGTCTACAAATACTACCTACGATAGGCCCTCACATCTAGAAATAACTGACTTTGGGCTTTAAACTCTAGGTTCCCAGCAGCCCCTGACTAACAAGGGTACCTTTTTTCCTAATGTTCATCTTTAAGAAGGAGCCCCAGAACAAGAAGGGACAAGGGTATATACTATTGGAGTAGAACTTTAGAAGTGGGACCCAGAACCCTAAACCCTAAACGTATCTACTTTCATCTGCTGGGGGAGGGGGCCGTTTTATAGGTCCCTGTCAAGACCCTCGTCTACAGGAAGATCCTCACCGGAAAGGGCAACCTACCTTTTCGCCACTTCGGGGGCAGGTATTATTAGAAGCCTCAGCCCTAAAACCCTGATCTCTATACCCTAAACTCTGAAACCCCAACCCTAAACCGTAAACCCCAACCGTTGAGTCTTCAAGAGCAATCTGGGGACCTTGGTGGTTGTCTCTGCCGATGATTGCGCTGAGGCGGCATCCTGGCTGCTGCGACTACTCTCCCCAAGAAGTGGAAAGCCTCATCCCCTAAGGTTTGAGGGCTAAAATAAACGGACTCTACTGGGAACC